CACCTGAAGGCCAGACAAAGAATAATGAATGGAATGACCAAGGAGAGATTCAACCTAGAAATAAGGAGGAACTTTCTGAGAGTGAGAACAATCAACCAATGGAACAGAAGTTGCCTTCGGAAGTTGTGAGGGCTTCATCACTTGAGACTTTCAAGAAGAGATTAGACTGCCATTTGTCAGAAATGGTGTAGGGCTTCCTGCTTGAGCTGGGGTGTGTGTGTTGGACTAGATGACCTATAGGGTCCCTTCCAACTCTGTTAATCTGTTAAATCTGTTAACTCCCTGGTTAAAAGAGGGAGGAAAGGGAAGACACAGGCAGTCCTGCAAGAGCTGATTATTTGAGCCAATTTCAATAAAGGCGACTTCCCATCAAATTTTTGCAGAATATTTTTCTGACCTGGCCCACCTCAAAGTGCTCAGAAACCTCTGTCGCATTGAGGGACTAGATGGGAAGTCATTTGTATAGCTCCAATAAAACTGAGGATCTCAAAATCTGAAGCCAAAGTCAACGTGCTAAAATGCTAATATGCTAAAAGCACAGAACTAAGGGGACCTGTTTTTTGGGTGTGTGTCTTCATCCATATAATGGAGTAGCTTTTCTGACTGAACGTGACAATGACCAGGATGTCACAGACCTTCTGGTAACTGTTCAAGACTGAATTGCTCCAGAGAGCCTCTCTAGTCTAGTAAATAAGACGATGCAGGCATATGGTAGATGGTTCTATATTTGATTTGTGTATTTTTAAGGATTGGTTTTATGTTTACACTATGGATGTTTTATTGCATTATTGTCTGTTGTTGTGAATATTGAAACTCCTTTGGATTGCAGCAGGCACAAATGGATTGATGAAATAAATAAATCTTGCCAGTTTGGCAACTTTCAACAATATGAATTTACAGTATAAGTACAAAGAAACCTAGCATATTTACACCTTTCACTTTCCATTTACTATGCCTTCTGTAAAATGTCCTGGTAGTCAGTGCCCTGCAGGTTAAGTCACTAAATTTCTCACAAATCCAGTACTTTAAAACAGCAGAAAGACAGATATATTGTTTTATTTCTGCAAACTGCCTGGGTTTAAGGTGGTAGCAGACTAAAAATCTAATAAGTAAATAAGTAAAATTATTTTCAGCAATTTTGACACTGGGAGTTGTGCAAATATCTACCTTCTAAGACAGATAATAATTTCAGACCCTTTTGCAGCCACTTACCATTAGGATGGTAATGGTAGGCAGTGGCTCAGTACTTGAGCTTGTCGATCAGAAAGGTCGGCAGTTCGAATCCTTAGTGCCGCGTAATGGAGTGAGCTCCTGTTACTTGTCCCAGCTTCTGTCAACCTAGCAGTTCGAAAGCACGTAAAATTGTAAGTAGAAAAATAGGGACCACCTTTGGTGGGAAGGTCACAGCATTCTGTGCGCCTTCAGCTTTGAGTCATGCCGGCCACATGACCACAGAGACGTCTTTGGATAGCGCTGGCTCTTCAGCTTTGAAACAAGGATGAGCACCGCTCCCTAAAGTTGGGAATGACTAACACCTATGTGTGAGGGAAGCCTTTACCTTTACCATTAGGATGATGACAAGATTCATACAGTTTTATTAACAGCTTTATTAGAGAAGAAGGGGTTAGGTTACAGAGTCTTGGAAACTGGATTTATGCATTTTAGCGCTCCATCAGTCAACAGTGTGTTACAATGAGAATGTTCTTGCTGACTGCCTCTTGGAGTTATGGGGAAGTTGCTGCTCACTTTTCTGAAATGGGAGAATGTGCAAAGGTTCTGGTTGTGTATTGTTTTGTAAATTCCCACACTCTTCCCCAGGTTCTGAGAGATCCATTACAGACAGTTGTGTGCAGTGTAATCCTGGGTTATACAGGTAGTCCTCAATTTAGTGACTTAGCCTTTTGTTTAGTGACTAAAGTTACAACAGCTCTTATTCTAACCATCCATAGCAATCTCAAGGAATGTGCTGTAGAAACATAAAATCTACTGGGCTTTGTCTCGTGAGAGCAGTCTTCCAATATCTCAGGGGTTGCCACAAAGAAGAGGGAGTCAAGCTATTCTCCAAAGGACCAGAAGGCAGGACAAGAGGCAATGGATGGAAACCAATTAAGGAGGGGAGCAACTTAGAAATAAGGAGAAATTTCCTGACAGTTAGAACAATTAATCTTGCCTCCAGAAATTGTGGATGTTGCAACACTGGAAGTTTTAAAGAAAAGATTATACAACCATTTGTCTGAAATGGTTTAGGGTTTCCTGCCTAAGCAGGACTAGAAGATCTCCAAGATCCATTCTATTCTGTTCTGTTCTGTTCTGTTCTGTTCTGCTCTGCTCTGCTCTGCTTCGCTCCGCTCCCTATCCATTCCATTCCTTTCCATTCCTTTCCATTCCATTCCATTCCATTCTATTCTATTCTATTCTCTCTTCCCTTGGAAACCATGACTAGAAACCGAGGCCAGAGATGGAAGTCAAGGCAAAGGAATAGGGAGAGCCCCCTTCAGCAGTGGTGAAAAGCCCTTGTCCAAATTCACCTGATTATGCCAAGGAACAGTGGATGGCACTGTTCCTTCACAAACACAGAGCTGCTGAGAAATTCAGCATTCATTGTTATAGAAGTCAAGTTGACATGACTTCTAAGCATTCTGAGAATAGATGGCAAGAAGACTCTTGCAGGTTTTATAACCAGAAGATGTAGGTCAAACAGTTAAGGCTTCTGCTTTTGTGATTTACAGCAGATAACATTTTTGGCATTAATTAGGTCCTGCTGCACCTCTTTGGGGCATATGGCAATTTTTTTGCTGCTGAGACTGGGTGTCTGGCATATGTGTTGCAGATGGTTATTTGGCAGGTGAGATTCAGAATGAAAAGCAGTAATGAGATTAAAGATGTTTCATTACATGCAATTCTGCAGATTGTATTCATCTTTGTATCTATTTTCCTGTAATGCTGAGGTCCTGTATGTTCACATCAACTGAAATCTAAATGGGCAGTCCGGTTAGTAGAAGTTCTGTCTGTCCCATTCTCCCTTTCATATATTTTAAATGTGGCAATTTCCCCCCCCCCTCTCCTTTAATGAAATGTTATTTTCTGGTGCAGCAGAGGTTATTTATTGGTTATCCTTACATTTGAGCCGACTTAAAAGATATCCGATTTGCTGTGAAAAGAATTATTCAGCAACTGTTCTTGGAGGGTTTTTTCTAAATCTGTTTTTGATTTTTTTTAAAAAAATATTTATTCAACTTATGAAGCACTTTATTCACTGGACTATTCACAGTTTAAAAAATGCAACGCAAGAAAACCATGTAAGAGCAGAAATCAGAAAGCTAGTTCTCGAAAGAGCAAAGGAAATCCTTGAAGGTATTTTACCATGTGAATCATATCTCTTTGTTCTTTATCACCAGTGAAGTTTTAGTTGATTAGCAGCACAACCATACAAGAATTCTTTTGGCACAAAGAAATATCAGACTTTGGTACATGAATATAAAGCAGGGGTGGGTTCCTGCCAGTTCTAACCTCTTCCATAGAAGAGATTCCACAAATCTACAGTGCCGTTTAGAACTGGTTCCAGCTCCCTCACCCCGCCCGTCCGCACATCATCAAGATGAAGAGGGAGAGGAGGAATTCTGGTAGTTGAAGTCCACAAGGGTAAAGCTGTCAAGTTTGAATACCCCTGGGGGTTTTTTCTAAAGGGTTAGGGGTTCAAGGGTCTTGTAACTTGACAGCTTTAAGACTTGCATGCTTCAATACCAGAGTTCCTGAGCTAACATGACTGGAGGAGGAATTCTGGGAGTTGAAGTCCACAAGTCCTAAAGCTGTCAGGTTTGACCACCACTGGGGTTTTTTTTCTAAAGGGTTAGGGGTGCAAGGGTCTTGTAACTTGACAGCTTTAAGACTTGCATGCTTCAATACCAGAGTTCCTGAGCTAACATGACTGGAGGAGGAATTCTGGGAGTTG